AGATGAGAAGAACAAAAGCTTTGTTTCCAAATTTCTGTGAACAATCAGCATCTCTCTCTTAATCTTGAACTGAAAAGCTCAGTGGTCCTTTGAGTAGTGCCTGCAGAGTGGAACGCTGTCATCTCACACAGGACCTTTGTCATTTGGGGAGCAGTGTGCTTAAATCTGAGACAGAAATACCATTGCTCATGTTTTGGCTTGTGAAATGAAAGTACATCTACGTATCAACACTGTACTGTTTACGATTGCTTTTTCAAATAATGGAGACTTGAAAAGACCTCATCACAAGGCAGTTTCTGTAATTGTGGGGAAAGCTTTTGTCTGGAAGACTTGCAATCTCTTTTACAATATAAGCCTCCTAATTTCAGATTATTCTTTGTCCAGTGATACATTCCAGAAGGGAAACACATTTGTTTGGATATAAACAATAAAGAATGGTGTATGGAAAGTGGTGTATCCCTATGGATGTTTTCTTACAGGACTGTAATTCTGCACCAATATTTTAATGTCTCTCCCACCAAGATCTTTTTTTAAGATTTTAATTGCTTTATTCCCTCTCTCCAACCAATGTAGGAAAGTAAATACTAGTATCCATGCCTATTACTTGTAAAGAACCTATTAAATCGTCATAATCTTCATCCTTTTTTGCAGATATTTCAGATTTTTGTTCCCATTGTATGTTGCTGCTGACCTTGCTCTTTTTGTAAATGTTCTCCAGTCAAATCTCAACTGTATTTCTCAGCAGAGATTTGTCTGTTCATTTTTATAGCTTACATTAAGTGTGAGACTCATAACTCTTACTGTTTCTGTTGTTCCTATAGCAACCAGATAGGTGGAGATGCAGCAGCATCACTTTGCTTCCCAGCTGGTGTTTGTGTTCTCAGCAAGGGGAGAGTATGAGGAAAATAGAGAGAGTGTTAATTGGGATGTAACTGGTTGAAAGTGTTGTCCTTGTTGAATTACCTCACCCTTTACTTCAAGGAGTTAGTTAATAATTTTTAGCAGGGCTTCTCAAACTTTCTTTATTAAAATTCTTGGATAGAGACATGATTTACTCTGTCGGGCTTTGGTCTCTTAGCTGCTGGTTGGTTTTTCATGTTTTCTTTCACCTGAAATCCTGTTTTATTCCTCACATGGATAGCAGTAGGATTTATTTAAGAACTAAACCACTGCTTATGACTTGTATGTAGCCTGAACAAACACAAGAGGCTTTTTAATTCCTGCTTCTTAATCTTTTTGCAGCTGTCCAGTAACTACAGTATACTAGACTGTAGCTTTATAGTGGACTGTTAAGTGACTATCTTGGAGTAAAATGTTTTGATATTTAAAATGCTACCTATACAGAGATTAGAATAACATATTCTACCTTCTCCAAGAAGAAGTTGTTTGCATTCCCCTTAAGCAGTCCACTCTCTGATGTCACGATGGAGTGTTCATTACATACTTTCCTGAGGATCTCTGATGCCATATTAATTCTTCTGTGGTCCACTAAAGTCTTTCCTCCACGCCTGAGCTCCTGAAGTTTGCCTACCGTGCCTTGGTGCAACTTGTTTAGCCAAGCACCGCTGCTCCATGAGGGTTGTGTTACTCTCAGCATGGCATGTGCATTGTCAAGACTCTGAGGAGGCGAGGAGTTTAACTTTACAGTGTTTAAGTCACTATTATATAAAACAACCGCAAAACACGTGACCTATTTTTTAAGCTACTCTGAAGTTGTAAATTTTTTTTAGATAAAAATTCATGGTCACAGGAGCTGGATATCGCATGTTGTATCTCAGAAAGATGGGCCCTATCAGCTTAGTGTTACTCTTCAACTTGTACATTCATTGAAAATGCTTTCCTAGCCAGAACAGCTCTGATTAGCAAGAGGAACTCAAGCTGCTACTGCGACAGTGATCTGCAGATCAGTGGGATCCTGCATCAGGTTGCCATCCATGAAATGCCTGTCGTCTCCACATTGGTGGTGGTGCCTAGGAGAAGTGCTTGTTCTTTTGGAAATAAGTTTTCAGTTGTTTCCCATTTTATTACTTCTCTGTCTCCCCTGACTCTCTCAGATAGAGAGGTTCACAAGAGCTCATCAACATGACATATGATAAGTCTATAAATCAGCTTGCTTCTCTGCTGGCTACCCAAGCAGGGTCCTGATCCTAGGTGGATTACACATTAGTATAGATTTACATTTTAAACAGAACAACATCTCTTTAAAACATTCTGGCTTAAGAAATTACATAAAAGGACAAGTCCCTTGCTTCAGTAGATTAGATCTAACCTAGTGTATCTGCTGTATGCAGATCTTAGTGGGGCCACTAAGTCATTTAGGGTTTGGGGAGTCTTTCTGAGGCTGAGAGAGCTGGGACTGTTCAGCCTCAAGAAGGGAAGGCTTGTGTAGGATCTTGGCAATGTATATTCACATCTGGTAAGTGGGAATAAAGAAAATCAAACCAGACTCTTCGCAGTGCTATCCAGTGGCAGCACAGGTGGCAATGGGCATACATGTAATGTGTAACTAAACCTTTTTTACTATGAGGGTGGTAAAACCGTAAGTTTTAGAGAGAGGCTGTGGAGTGTCCATCCCTGGAAAAGATTAAAACTCATCTGGGCTCGGGCCTGACCAATCTGTGTAGTTGACTCTGCTCAGAGCAGGGGAATTGGACTTGATCTCCAGAGGTCCTTTCCAACCTCAACTATTCTGTGAATATTGTGGATTATGTCAGCAGATAAAATAGTTGGAGTTTTATTCTATGAAGAAATTGCTCCTTGGAGAATCTTGTATTGTCACAGATAAAATGTAACTCTTGTGAGATGTTTTGAGAATCCTTTTGTTGTTTATGCTTAGATTTTGATTTTTATCTTAGTAAATCTCCTGGTGTTATAATGTTTATTTCGTACAACCTAATTAGAAAAACCCCAACCCATAAATCAGTGCAGTAACTACATTTTTATCAGCTTTCTTCACTTGACAAATAAATGCATTTTTATAGCACTTAAAATCCAATCCTGAATATAAAGGTCTATTGAAGTGTTTTTGATTCATGGAATCACAGAATCATTAAGATCGAAAAAACCTTGTAAAATTAACTTCTTAAACCATTAACTTCTCACCCCCATGTGTACCACTAAACTATGTCTTCATGTGCCAAATCCATGTTTTCTGAATGCTTCCAGGGATAGTGATTCCGTTAGTTCCCTGGGCAGCCTGTTCTAATGCTGCAGCTGCAGCTTTCCAGCCACTCTTCCCCCAGCCTGTGGTGCTGCGTGCGGTTGTTGTGAGCCAAGGGCAGGATGCAGCACTTCACCTCCTTGAACCTCATACCGTTGCCCTCAGCCCATCAACCCAGCAAACTCGTCATACTCAAAATCTCTAGGCAAAAATTTAGGAAGAATTCCGGCAAGGAAACTGGAGTTCTGCTCTCTTGCTTGAACTTGCGTGCTTCCCTTGCTGCCTGAGGATTGAATATGCAGAATCAGATTGTTCTGTTCTCTGGAATATTCAGTTCAGGGGAATACATGAATGTACAACCAGAGTTTGACAGCTGCCTTGAGGTGTTGAGTTTATTATCCTTAAATATTAGCTAAGAGCAAGCATAATTTTTATCTTTCCTTCATTTGCTGGTGAGTGTTTGCTCAAAATTGATTGAAATAGCTCTTATGTTCTCCAAGAAAGGAGTGCGTATTGCCTCTTGAATGGTTCCAGCTATATGTTGGGGAGTGAAAAGTCAGGGATAGTGTTGACAATTATAGATTAAAAAAGAAGTAATAAAAGAGATGATGGCATCTGGAAAGAGAGGTTGTGGTTGGATTCAGAGAAGAAGCAATGTCTAGCACTGGATGTGAGTTGCAAAGGGAGAGCAGGGTCCCAGGGAAGGAGAAAGAATAGGTGAGGTAGGGTGCTTTTTTTGTTGTTGTTGATTGTTTTGCTTTTTCAAAAAAGCTAAAGATTTGTAATATTGAGCAGAATTAGTAACCCTAGTCTGAGTGTCTCATTTCAAGTAAATAGGGGCAAGGAACTGAGAATTTAAGTGAAATTTTGATGTTGGCTTTCTGGAGATCTCTTTCAGATTCTTGGACAGATCCTGCTTCAGCAGACCTCTCTGGGCCTTAGGGATTTTAAATACAATTATTGTTTGGATTAACTTCCCAAAAATTCTGCTTTGAAACTTTGTTATGCATCTCTTCATTCAAATCACTTTATGTTTTCAATCTTGTTTACTTTTTTACAGCTGTTAACACAATAGGGGAAAAGCTTCCAAGGAATGACTATTGATGTCTGAGGGAACCTAGATTTTAATAGCAGAACAATTGCTGTGATGTCATGTGCAGATTTTATGTGGTGTTCACAAGCAACTGGTTGCAAACAACTACAGATTGCAAAAAATGTCTATAAAACTTTTGTTCTACTTGCAAAGCTGCTGTCTGCACTGTCAAAAGCTTGTGAATGTAGCTGCCTGTATATTCCTGTTTTAAGTGAGTTTTCAAGCATGAAATCTAGTTTGCAGAAAAAGCTCTTTTGCCAATGTGATTTTTATCATTCGTACTCTAAAAACAAGCACAGCTCTAAAAATTGAGGTATATATGATGTTAATAATTAAGTGACTCTCATTGATGCATTTACATACCAAGATTTGAGATCACTTTCAGTAAGTTATACTTGCAAAAGTGGGTTTTGCCAGATTATCGATGTGTAGCATAAAACTGCTTCCTCTAGAAGAAAATCTTACCACTGTACTTAATCATTTTGGTAACAATAGGAGTGCAAATGTACGTAAAGATTGCATTTCCTACCATGAAATGTCAAAGTAGTTTTCTGGTTTTCTAATTGTGAAATTAGTAACTAGGCATAATAACTAAATGTCAGCAAAACATAAAGGTATGGTAATTTTAGACTTCTGAGGATATTTCTAGAAATGTTTTTGTTATAAAATAAATTTATGTACTTTTATTGCTCTTGAAGATAATCAACAAAGGCTGATCAACTAAAAATTCTGCTTTTTGTTTTCCAGAAACCAGCAAACATTCTGGTAATGGGTGAAGGTCCTGAAAGAGGAAGAGTTAAAATAGGTAAACATTTTTAGAAAATTTCATTGCATAGCTAAGAGATTAATAAAACAGATCTTCAGTGTAAGATAGAAACAGATCTTCATTAGTTTTTTAGTATTGGACCCTCTGTTCATCAATTTTTGTTGTGTTTGAAAATGTTCGGTTAATAATTATTGATTTATATGCTTGTATGGGCAGCAACAAGAAAATTATACTTGGCATTTTGTAACTTTGGAAGCAGAAAGATTTAAGTGAAGTGTATAAAAGGTAAATTGCAGATTTAAATTGGGGTTAAAATGTGTGGGTTTGCCAGTACCCCCAGGTTTGTACTTTCCCATTGAGCATTTCTTACTGTTATGAAACTCTTTCTAGAGAGAATTTTGGAGTTATATATCAGTGCTTACTTTTAAAATACACCTCTGTAACAGTATATACTGACTAATTCTGGAGTTCATTCCTCCAAATCAAGTAGGAGGCATGCCTTGAAAAATAGTTCAAAACAATCTACACTCTAGTCATTTTGGTTTTGCACTTTGGGTAAATATATAGCAGCCACAAAGACTCACAGTTTTGTAAATTACTATAAAAATAAAAAAGAAATGTACATTACAGACCTACCGCTATTGACTTCAGTTAACCAAGTTTCTGTTAGAGGTTTTTTTAAAAATAAACAGGTGTCTGTGTTATGTGAAGTTTTACAATCCCATGATGAAAACACTGAAGTCAAACATTATCCTTCATAATCTTACGAACAAAGTAAATGGAATTTTATCTCAGCTAAATTTGGCCCAGTATTATTAAGAGTAATTGTGCTTTGTTAGGAGCTTTGATTTGTAATTTTTAATGGTTTTGAGCTTTTATTATAATTGGTTTTGGCAATAGTGTTAAATTTTGTTTTCTTTGTATAAAAAATTTAAATAAATATTATTTCCTATTTTTTCTCCCCATTCCCCAGCTGATATGGGTTTTGCAAGATTGTTTAACTCGCCTTTGAAGCCATTGGCAGACTTGGATCCAGTTGTGGTGACATTCTGGTACAGAGCTCCAGAGCTGTTACTTGGGGCCAGACATTACACAAAAGCCATTGGTAAGTTGTCCTGTAAGAAGGATGTTTGCTTGCAAGTTTTGTAAAGGATAGTGGCCTTACAATAGATGGGAGGATCAGCTGAGTAGCTAGTTTTTTTTCCTGAAGTAGCAGCAGATGGAGTATGATCCAATCCATAAAAGATTACTTCAGACCGAAACTTTCTGAGGACTGTGCTTTTATTTTTCAGTATGAGCTGGACATTTTAAATGTGTTGTTGGTTTTGTTTTAAAACAAAAATATCCTTTGCACTGGTTTGTACGTGTTCTTGATATGGGCTCAGAAATCTTCTGATCTTGTAAAACTGCAAAAGGGAAAGAGCTATGGCTGTTGAAGTGGCATTCTTCTAGGGTGTTACATCTTTGTTGTATTATTAGAGGCTCTCTAAATAGCTTAATATCTTTCTTATATGGCAGTGACGAAACCTTCCCAGGCTGTTCACCTCCTCTCACAGCTCCTCTTGCTGGTGTCTCAGTGCCCCAGCCAGAGCGTATCTCCCACTGTGATGCCAGTGTCATCCTGCAGACTGAGGCTTGCATGGCAGCACGCTCCCTCTGCAACTCTGCTTCAGCTGAGATGGAGGCATCCCAGGGTATATTATCCAGTGGGTCCTGGGGATGGAACCTTGTAGTGCCCCTGCCTCCTGCACGGTAGTGGCACAATCCCATGCTGTCTGAAGCAGATTCTTAGGGCCTGCTTTGCTTCTACCACCGTGCAAACCGGGCTCCTAATTACTAAGCCTGTGCTTGCTGCACCCTGTAGTGGGTTAAAACAGTTGCTAAAAGTGTTTAAAGAAAATACCAACAGGATTGCCCTAAACCTGTAAATTAGATGCTTAAATTGCCTGTTGAAAGTGGAAAACACTGATTTGAGTGCACCAGATTACTGAGTGACCTGCACTGAGTGTGTGGTACCGGAAAGTTACCTCAACTGACAATTACCTGTTTTTGATAGATAGCATAGTGTTTGGAGATTTGGGTGAGTGATATATACCATTATCTCAGGATATGTCTTTGAAGAATGAGTTAGTATAATGCTGTTGTTTGCTTAATTATGTCATAAATAACTTGGTTCTTGCCCTGAGGGATCTGTAGTCTATACTAAAACACAGACAAGGAGTCCCTATGAAACTTCAGAAGATGATGCTACTTCAGAGAGATCTGATTTGCTAGTAGTTTATTATTTCTGAGGCTTTCATTTCTTTTATCACACCAGTGAATCCCCAGGAGGGATTGTTACGAATGAATGGTTACGTAGTACCTGGCATGCCGTGTGAGTGCTGAGGGGCACTCAAAACAGTTTGGGCAGCGAAATAAAAAATACAGAAATGAAAACTGGAAAGTTCCAAGTTGAGATTTGTAGGCTGACTGAAGAATTAGAGGAGCATGTGGCTGAATAGAAGAGAAAAGAGTAAGGGGACATGGAGGTGGCCTGTGTTTCGCTTCAAGGTAAAGGGAAGAAGTAACAAAATGATAGTGGTGACGTTTATGCAGTTTCATGAGTCCAGACTTGTGTTTTGCTTCTAACATTATGTGCACTTAAGGGAGCCCCCGGTGGTCCAGGGGAAAAT